GGGCATGGGGGATTCAGCCCGGGGTACGGGGGGCTCAGCCCGGGGTACGGGGGTTCAGGGCCGGGGGACAGGAGGTTCAGGGCCGGGGTACGGGGTTTCAGGGCCAGGGCCGGTCCAGCTCCCAGCCACCATCACCCCCGAGTTCTCCCACGGCTGCCCCGAGCCGGGTCGATGCCGGGGGCTGCGGAACGAACACGGCGCCGGGACAGGCTCTGATTTCACCACCGAGCCGCCAGCCCCGTTGCAGAGCGCCTCAGGCTGCGAGGGCAGGGCAGCAGCACCAGCGGCCCGGCTCGGAATCCCCAGGAGCACGGCTGGCCGGGGCGGCACAGCCCCGGGGCGGCACAGCCCGAGCGCCGCGCCGCCACCTCGGGCCGTCCCCGCCCCGCCCGGCTCCGTTTCCCGGCTCCATTTCCTGCCTCCCTTTCCCGGCTCCCTTTCCCGGCTCCGTTTCCCGGCTCCGTTTCCCGGCTCCATTTCCTGCCTCCCTTTCCCGGCTCCCTTTCCTGCCTCCCTTTCCCGGCTCTCTTTCCTGCCTCCCTTTCCCGGCTCCCTTTCCTGCCTCCCTTTCCTGCCTCCCTTTCCCGGCTCCATTTCCTGCCTCCCTTTCCCGGCTCGGTCTCCCGGCTCGGTCTCCCGGCTCGGCACCGCCCCGGCGATCCGGCCGCGCTGCAGGTACGGGGGATCCCGGCGGGACACGGCCCCGCCGGCCGGGGCAGCGCAGGGATGCGGTCAAAGAGCAGGGAATAGGGACGGGAATGTGCGCCCGTGCTGGAGCGAGGACTGGTTGTAATGGGTGTGCTTGCCGTGTGTTTTGTAGGTTAGTTCCAGCGCACGGTGCGGAAGGAAAGAGGATGGAAGAAGGAAACGCTGTCAAGGAAAGAGTCCTCATAACTGGAGGAGGGGGTTATTTCGGCTTCCGGTTAGTGCATTCAATAGTTATTACATACAGGAATGAATGTAAGCGGTTGCTTACATTTGTATCCATCTGTAGAATGGAGACCTGTGGGCCTGAGACACCTGATCCAGTTGATCCCATCTTCTGGTTCATCGGGGTCTCCGTTTTAAAGAACCTCAGTTACTCTGTTTCCAGAGCTGTAGGTAACGCTGGTATCCCGTTTCCAAATGCCTGGCAGACATTTACCTGTGTGCGCAGCTCTGTACAGGGGTGGGATCTCGATCAGCCTGCTCTGAAGGACAAGCCTACACTTGTACACACATTTTTCTTTTGAAATGCAAATAGTTACACGTGTGCTTAGTTCCATAGATTAACAACTCCAGCTGAACACTGAAGAATATATTATTTTCACGAACAGTTATGGCTTAGTATTAGGGTTGTTAATAAGGTGCACATTTCAGTGAAACCTATTTTCCCTTGCTGTAGCTGGCTCTGCAGACCCTGTAATGAAAAAAATCCTATTCTGAGCCCTAGACTATAACTGCTAACAGAGGGAAGAGAAATCACAGTCAGGACCAGAAAATAAAGTAAATTTCAAGTCAGGGGAAGGAAAGAAAAAAATCTCAGGAAATGCCTATCTGACTTCTGCTTGATTTTTCCCTCCATTCTCATGCCCTTAATGCACAACAGACATAAAAAATGTAGGAAAGGAGAAGAGAAACACCAGAGTTACACTTTGTGTCAATACCTGTGACTTGGAGTAAAATGTAGACATGTGGCAAAGCATTCATAGCAGCTTACAAGCATCTGGCCCACTCCTCCATAAATTTATAACACAACAGCGAAAACCAACGTGTTATTTTGCTGAAACTAGGATGGCACAAAAGCAGTAAGATAAAACAAGTAAAGGTTTTGGGTTTTTTTAAATATTTGGCAATAGTTGCACATCTAAAAGTTGCTGATCTGAAGGGGACAGAACTTCGGTTCTTTTTCTTCAGCACTTTCATTTACAGCAGTTCTGCTTCTTTTTTCTTTTTTTCCTCCAAATATTGATGGAATGTGAGAAATCTGCTCAGTACCTAAACTATCACAGCTGAATCTTCCCTATAGTGGAGGCTGAGCATTTAAAAGACTACGATCAGAAAAATAATCAGCATAAAAACAGTTAACAGTCCTCTCTCCCTTCCAGGTGAGATGTTTCATGCACCATGCTGCTGTATCCTAACGTATGGTTTCTGTCATGTTTCAGTTTAGGTTGTGCCATATATCAAAAGGGAGTCGATGTGATCCTCTTTGATGTCGTGAAGCCACTTCAAACCGTGCCAGAAGGGATAAAGTTCATGCAGGGGAATATCTGTTGCCTGTCTGAAGTGGAAGAAGCTGTCAGAGATGTAATCTGCGTATTCCATATCGCTTCCTATGGAATGTCTGGCAGGGAGCAGCTGAACCGAAAACTTATAGAAGATGTTAACGTGAAAGGAACAGAAAATGTCATCCAGGCCTGCAAGAGCAGGGGAGTGTCGAGCCTGGTTTATACAAGTACCTACAACGTGATATTTGGAGGCCAGATTATAGAAAATGGGGACGAGTCTCTGCCTTATCTACCTCTGCACCTTCACCCCGATCACTACTCCCGAACCAAATCTTTAGCTGAAATGAAGGTGCTGGAGGCAAACGGTGCTGAGCTGGGAAATGGGAGAGGTGTCCTGAGGACCTGTGCTCTCCGGCCAGCAGGGATCTACGGGCCTGGGGAGCAGAGACACCTGCCAAGAATAGTCAGCTACATTGAAAGGGGACTGTTTAAATTTGTGTATGGAGACCCTCTGAGCCTGGTAGAGTTTGTACACGTGGACAACCTGGTCCAGGCTCATGTCCTTGCCTCTGAGGCACTCAGAGCCAGCAAGCAGCACATTGCTGCAGGCCAGGCCTATTTTATTTCTGATGGCAAGCCTGTAAATAACTTTGAATTTTTCCGACCACTAGTGGAAGGTTTGGGTTACAAATTCCCAACCTGGCGCCTTCCCCTCTCCCTTGTCTATTTTTTTGCATTCCTCACTGAAATAGTTCATTTTCTTGTGGGGCGCGTTTATAACTTCCAGCCCCTCCTCACTCGCACGGAGGTTTACAAAACTGGTGTCACACACTACTTCAGCATGGAGAAGGCCAGGAAGGAGCTGGGCTATGAGCCCCAGCAGTACAGCCTGGATGAAGTGGTGGAGTGGTTTAGATCCCA